CCGTAAGCCCTAAACCCGAACGGGAAATGGTTTGGTGGTGTGAGGTGGCGCCATCCCAGCATGAATTACTAGCCACTGCGCAAGAAGATATCCTAAACCGTAAACCCAAGACCCTCAACCAAAAAATCCTCCTAAATCCGAAATTAAAGCCCTTCAGGTCCCGGGCATACTTCCACACGGGCGCGCCGGACCGAAGCGGCTCCTGCGTAAGGAAAGAAGGAAGCCTGCATAATTAGGGGATATTAGAGGTGTTGGTCTTGGGTTCAGGGGATTAGTAGGGGATTAGGGTTTAGGGGTTTAGGGTTCAGGGGGTTTAGGATTTAGGATTTCGGGCTTCGGGTTTAGCGGAATTAGCGTCTCAGGGTTCAGGGTTGAAGGATTAAGGTTTGCTGGTCTGGTGCTTGGTTGTCGGTGCTCCTTTCAGGGTTCCTTGAAGTGCCCCTTGAAGTGCCCCTTGAAGGGCCTGTGCAGGTTACAGGATGTATGTTTCCAGCTTAAGGTGCTCTAGGGTGCCCTTTGAAGGGGAAGGGGGAGGGTACTTCCCTGCTAAAACTTACAAAAACACGACAGCGTCGAGACCCGTCCTTCTGCCAGAGCACCGCCAGCATACCGCACAGGACTCCCAAAGAACGGTTGCCTATGTGAAGTTCTTCATGGTTTTGGGTTTGGGGTTTAGTGCGTTCTCCCAAAGTTTAGGGTTTAGGGGCTAAAGGCTTTGGGGGGTTCAAGTCCTAGGTCATGGGACTTGGGATTCAGGGGCTACGGGTCTAGGGTTTTGGGGACCTTGGTTTCAAGGTTTGGGTTTCACTGGCTGACGTGAAGAGTTTAGGGACTAAGCAAAAAAAGGCTGCTAGGACGCACACATATGCTGTATGCAACAAGCTGGACGGCTATCCTAAATACATAACTGTACCTGACGTCAGATGCACACCGCAAGGGGGATGTCTCACACTATCTGACACTATCTGCCAAAGCTCCGCAGTCACCCCCCCCACACTCTACGATCTAAATCCAAAAACCCCCCAGAATCCTGAAACTTAAACTCTAAAATCCAGACCCTAAGCCCTCAACCCCTGAAACCCTGAACCCAAAAGCCCAGACCTCGCTCGAAACTCTCCTCTGGCACATGCGACATGCCTCAGATCACTAGGGTTTAGGGTTTTGGGTTTAGGGTTTAGGGTTTCGGGTTTCGGGTTTAGGGGAGCACTCCCTAAGCCGTCTGGACCTTACATCCCAAGGCCCTGGCAAAAGACAAGGAAGACGGCGGAGTCGAAGACCTGCTTCGTTTGAGCTTTCGGGTTGAGGGTTTTGGGGGTTTAGTAGGATTTGTTTTTTGTTTACCCCTCGTGTCTTTTCACCTTGCGGCATCCAGACTACCGTAGTAGGGGGTTTAAGCTTTGGGGCTTTTTGCCTTTCGAGGTTTAGGTTTAGGGGTTTAGGGTTGAGGACCCTTTTTCCTCTGGCTTCCTCACGGTGGAGGGGCTTCGAATTGTTGGAGAAACTGCGAGGGCTTTCATTATCAGGCCACATAGCCAGTTCTGGAGTCACTAAACCCTAGACCCTAACGAAGCCCTAAGCCGAAGCTCTTCGGCTGAAGGATATAAAATCAGGTTCCGTGGATGAGTCTGCAGCTGCGCTGGCGTCCATGACAAAAGAGGCTCATGCGAAAGTGCATACCTGCCCAAGAAATCAATAAACCAGTGGGCGGAAGTCAATCCAGCACGAAACCCTAGCCCCTGAACCCTAAGGCCCCCAACCTACAGGCTCTTGGACCCTTAACCCGGCACGTAAAACCCTGAAACCCCAGACCCTGGCACCCCAACCTTCGAAACAACCACAAAGTGACACGCCCGGGGTAAAGAGACGCGCCTGGTTGTTGTAAGACTCTGTCATTATGCCTGGGCCGTGCGCAGGCTGCAATCCAGGGGCCTTGACAATGCGAAGGGGGCTTGGGGGTCTATGAAATTCAGAACCCGAAGGAATAATGCAAATTCTGCTCTGCGAAACTCTGGTCCTAAACCAAGCCATTGCCCCAGGCCCTTGCGTACATACCACATGGGTCTTTGATAACAGCAAGCTCTAAGCGGGTCCGAGCCACGTTCCTGTAGCAGTCCATACACCACCAACGACAGAATCACACCAACCTGAGGCCCGCAGACGAGGTTTAGCTGTTTACGGCTTCAGATTTAGCCTGGATTCAGTTGCTCCTTCGCTTCAGGCTCGTATGCTGTACAGCGGAAAGCATTACATTACATGCCAGCGAGCCGTCAATACGACGTTGCTGTTTTCTGAGAGTTTGTCTTCTTCACCTCGGTCCCCAAGCGATCATGCGGCTAGACACCGGAGTTCTCGACTATCGGAGACCACAATGTGAGCCCAAGGATCTCAACAGTCAACAGATCAAGAAGGCCAAGACCCCGCCGTTGATCAGAATTCTACGGGTCAGCAACTTAGAAGCGATCCTAATATCAAGGCTCTTACAGTAAGAGAAGTTGGCCTACCAGTTCCTCCTCATTCTTGAAAATTACCGGGACCGCAGTTTTCAGAGACTCTACATGTCTTGTACAGAGATGCCGAGAAGGAGCAGGTCCATCAAGGTGTATGAAAGCATGCCAACTCAAGGCGTCTTTATGGGGCTTTCGCGCTTTCGCGTTTACCCCTAAAGGCCCTAAAGCCTAAACCCTAAATTATTGAAGTCTAAACTCTAAATCCCAGACCCCGAAACCCCAAACTTTAAACCTATATTTTAAGCCTTACACCCTAACCCCCGAAAACCAACCACGAGCTCTCGGGGGTGAGATCTTCGGAAAACCACAAGAGTCAAAGCATCAGCGGCCAGGCGCAGGTGTCGGGAAGCTTGACCCCACGCAACTCAATCAGGAGTCCACCCTAAACCGTAAGCCAGGGAGCTGCAAGAAGCACACATCGCGAGTTGACTTTGGCACCATCCTCGCAGAATGCTCGTGGCGGGTTCAAGCAGCAATGAACATGACAGACTTTAAACGTAAACTTAAAACTGTAAACATAAACCCACATGCACCGAGCAAATTGACGGAGGCTCTGGCCCGGGAACCCAGAAAAGACACCCAATCCTGATTTCCCATTGCTGAGAGCCTAAGCTGCTGGGGAGGACCAGAAAATGCTCCCCATGTGATACGGCTGTCGTAGAGTCTGCATAAATAGTCAGTGATGATAGTCAGACAGTCCCTTAGAATCCCCATGTACCAAACCCTTTTCTGACTTCTCATGGCCCTATACTCAAATGCTAACCCAACTCTGGCGAAGCCCAGAAGAAGCTCTTCTCCAACAAAGATGCTCGTGCCATGAAGGCCCCTCTAAACTATTATTTTGGGTGCTATATTCGGGTTCCCTATTTTCGGAAACCCCCAAATATCCTACCTTTTTAAGGACTTATATATTACCATAATAGGGATCCCCCAAAGTCAGGCCAGGGCCTGGCAGAGCATCGCCGCCCGGACAGCGCGAAGCAGTTGCGGCTTGGGCTTTGGGGTGTAAGGACCTACCCCCAATTCTCAAAAGGCTTAGAGTTTGAGGGTTTTGTAAAGGTTCAGGGGCCTCAACTCCGTAAAGGTTGAGGGGCTGAGGGTTGCGGGCTTAAGGTGCAGGGTCAAATCGTTTCGGGATTTGAGTTCGCGTAGGCCTCTGCTGGCATCGTCGGGCTCAGGGCCTTCTAAACACCAAAGTACCATCCGGGAGCGAATCAGAGTGCAGCTTCCTGGCAGCTACACCCTAGACCCCAAACCCTAAACACCCAAAACCTAGAGCATCAGCCGTTTCTGGGCCTTGGGAAACTTGGAGGGGCAGGGGACTTAGTAAGTGGCTTATAAGTAGGGTTATAATTGGGGTAACTCCATTTAGGGTACTTATAACTCTACTTATAACCTACTTACTAAGTCCCGCCCTTCCAAGAACAGCCTTGTGACGAAGAGGTTCGGTACCGAGCTCGAGCCGAAATCATCGCGGCCGCTTCGAAGCAGATCCGAGGTCTAAAAGGCGCCCACTAAAAGGGTTTAGGGTTTAGGGTTGAGGGTTTAGGGTTGAGGGTTTCGGGTTTAGGGTTTAGGGGTTTAGGGTTTAGGGTTTAAAGGCGCCCACTAAAAGGATCATGGGACTTAGTAACTAGGGTTATGGTTCCTTAAAGGGTTCCTTAAAGGGATCTATGAGCGGTATCTATTATAAAAGGGGTTTTAGGGCCTACCTAAAGGATCATGGATCTTACTTACTAAGTCCCCCGATCCTCCAAGTAGGGTCTAGGAGATTTTGGTTTTGGGTCTAGCGGTTTAGGGATTAGGGGAGTTTAAGGTTTCAGGGTTTAGGGATTGAAAGCTCAGTAATTTAGGGCCTTACAAAGTTGATGGTTTTGGGGTTTAGGGGCCTAGGGTTTTGGAGTTTGGTTTCCTCAGGGTTTAGGGTTTAGGGGGCTTTTTGTCGGAGATTCGATTCCAGCTCTGCATCAGCTCACGACGCAACTCTAACCACGCCCTGAGCCACTATCTCCACGTCCGAAGTGACTAACCCACATCAGAAACCTCCCCAAAGCCCACGCTTAGGGATCAGTATCCTTGGGATGGAGGGCTTGGGTCATAGGGATGTGTGGTAGGATTTAAGGTATGGGGTTCAGGGTTGGATGTGCAGGGTTTGGGGCTGAGGGAATTGCTCAAAACGGTCAGATGCACATTCTTCCGATTCTTTTGCAGGTGGTGAGCTGCTTGCGGTGCTAGAGCCTGCTGCGCACAAGGCTTGTGTGATGCTCCGCATCTCTGCTTCCTGGTCACCTAGGCCGACAGGACGTAACCCCGCATGTTTCTGCACCAGACCATCCCCCGGAGGTTCCGGAGATTTGAAGCCCGACGAAATCCAGAAACAGCTTCCGGAGCCGAGATGTCTGATGGAGAAGACAGGAGCTGACAGCTGCCAGCAGCCAGAAACCGATGAATCTCCCGGAGCATCGTCTCCAAACCACGGAGGCTGAAGGGCCTTTACCCGGCCTGGGGCTTAGCCTCCACCACGTGCTTTTGTATCCTGAGCTCTTGTTGAAGAATATAACTTAAGCTACCATTATAGGGATCTATAGTAACTAATATGCTTTCCTTATTCTTATGGTAACTTAAGGTAAATTAACAGGAGCCCAGGATCTCCTCCCACAAACCCGGATCCACGAAGGTGGGGTGGACCACCAGGAGGTTTCCGTCCACGAAGGCCTCGGGCCGCCAACCTGGGTTCTTGGTAAGGAATTTCAGAGAAAAATGATTAAAAAAAGGGTTTAGGGTTTAGGGTTTAGGGTTTAGGGGGATCTCTATCGGTTTCAGAAAGCGTTTAGGGTTTAGGAATTACTTTAGTTTTACGTTACCGTAATGAGGATCCAGCAACAGACCCAGCGGAAGAACTCCGGCTCCACATGCAGCAAGATGAGCTTCTTCCTCACTTCTCCAGTTTTGGGGTGGCTATCGTCACTATAGAGGGCAACTTCCGGGGTTCTATAGAACTTTTCAGATGGGCTTCTTCCTGACTTCTCGAGTTTTGGGGTGGCTATATCACTGTAAAGGGCAACCTCTGAGATTACATGGAACTTCTCTACCCGAAGAGAGTAAGGTGAAGGTTACTCCATCAAGGACCAAGCGTCGGATCTTGACCCCCATCGCCGCCCATCAAGTACAGAGCATACCCCAGAGCCTTCAAGTACATCGCAACGCCATATTGCCCCCACTGGCCCGCGTCGTGCCGACTATCGGACCACGTGCCACCCAGCTCATACTGGAAGAGCGGAAACATCTGTCTGTTTGTCTCCAACCCCATGCCTCGAATCACGTTGGGCTCTTTGCCCTCCACATCGATGAGGACATAATTCACCTCGTCTGCAAGCACCATCCCCGCGAGCCACGGAAGCCAACAAGATCTACTTATCACCCCACCCAGCACTCTCCAACTCTTGAAACCCGCAACCCCTTTGAACAAAGACAAACCCAAAGCCCTCACCAACGGTTGTCCAGTTCTTTGCTCACCTGGCTTTGGATTCCCAGTTCCAGGAGCAAGCCGGCCAAGGTGACCGTTTCCACTGTCTCCTGGGCTTAGGGTTTAGAACTTAGAGTTGAGTTTCGAGTTTAGTTTTTAGGGGTCAGAGTCTCGCGGCTCTGAACCCCAAGACTCCAAACTCTAAAACCCCGATGCTCCGACCCTGAACCCGAAACTCCTAAACCGAAAACCCCTCCGACAAAAAAGGATGGAACCTCAAAAAGCAGCCCTTAACATACACTAAAGATCCCTAAACTCTAAGTCCCCGAAACCACAACAGCCGAAACCTCAGACCCTATAGAACCCTGACAGCGCCGATCGGGGTAACCCTGAAGATCCCAAAGATCCCTCAACCCTAGGCCCCCAAACCCCCCAAACTCCCTAAACCACAAGCCCCCAAACCCGAAGCCCCACTCACCCTGAACCCTAAAAAACCCTAAACGTGAAGCCCCCATAAGCCCCCACTCCCAACCCGCTGCAGCGTCTCCTCGAGCTGCGGGGCGTTCCGCCAGCGGCCTGTGGCCTCGTACAGTCCCGCCAACTCGACACCTGCCAAAAAACAGAGGATTTCGGGGTTTAGGGTTTAGGGGTTAGGGACTTAGGGGTTTAGGGTTTCGAGGATTTTAGGGTGCAAGGTGCAGGGTTTAGGTTTTTGCGATGTGTCTAGAATTTCAAGGCGTAGGGATAGTTTGTTTGCTTTATGGTGCATCTTGGTTTGGGTTGGACGGGCGGTGCAAAAAGTTCTACTTTCAGGGCTTAGGGTATTTCAGGCATGTGGGGAAGCTTAGGAATCAGAGCTTTAGGGGCTTGGGAGCTCCGGGGGTTGTCCAGCGCCTTGGGGCTTTTGGGATCGAGCCTTCAAGGCAATGATCCCCCTAATGGGGGTTATGGTACTCATAAGTCCCTAAAATAGTACCTTTGAGGGACCCTAATTGGGGTTATGGTACTTATAAGTCCCTAAAATAGTACCCTATAAGGGACCCTAATTGGGGTTATGGTTCTTATAAGTCCCCAGAGGTCTACAGAACGCTTATGAAACTTGCACAGAGCTTCTAGAGACCGTATGACACCCTCAGAACAGTTTGATGCCTTAGGGCTTGAGGCTGCCCATCTCAGGGTCAGAGCAACGCGGCTTGAAGCGAGAGGCCTTCTGCAGGTGCTGTAATGTGAAAAGTCTGCACCTTATCCTGGGCTGTTGTGGGGTTCTCACAAGGTCCAGGTGTTAAACTTGTTGTAACTTCACTGCTTGGCAAAAGATACCGAATTGCGCGAAGCAACTGGTTCACTGTCCTCCATTACCTTAACTTAAGTCTCAGCCCCAAACAGAAAAGCCAAGTATCCGACCACCCCCTCCTGTGCACAGTGACCCAAGGCGAATCTTTGAAGCGCTTTTGCTGCTGCTCAAAAAGCTTTGGCACAATCTCGAAGATGTGCATTCGAGCTCTGGGGCACGCAGAAAGGACGTTGCCGGTGGACTGGCCTTTGTTGGCTCCCGCTAAGAACACCAAAGCGTTACGCCCAGGGGCGTCTCCACATCGACCTTGCTTGGCGTACCAGCTCATGATAAGGTGGGATGTGGTGAAGTCCGCCTTGTTTCCAAACTTGTCCTCGGCTTGAAGCGACACAGAAAGCGACTTCGGCGTCGAAAGCAAGTGTCCCTGCCTGTCACTCTCAAGAGCCCCAACACTGAGCCTAAGTGTCACTAAACTCGAACTTCAGTCCTTGTTTTGGCGGTAGTAGTTCGCCTGGCCGATCGACTGACCCGACCATACCTGGTGCACGGTGAGTGCCTCCAGGGTTGGAGTTTAAGGTTTAGGGTTTTTTTGAGGGTTTAGGGTTTAGGGTTCGGGCTTGAGGTAACGGATTTAGGGCTTGGGCTTTGGGGTTGGGGCATAGAGCTTTGGAGTTTTGAAGCTCACGCTTAAAAAGGTTCCCGGTTGAAGGCCTCCAGCTGCTCTATGTATCCATCCAAGCTTCCCAGGGAGACACTGCTTTTCCCGGACATTCCCAAGGTCCTTACAGAATGCTGCAGGTGTCGCAGCTTCAGGGTCTAGGGCTCTAGGGTTTAGGGTTGCAGCATAGAAGGCTTCACAAAAGAAATGACAAACCTATCTGCCTTCACGGTAATGTTATGGCTGTCGACCGTGGGTTCTATACATTCCCCAGAATATGGTTAGGTTAGTCCTCCTCGCAGTGCTTCGTAAGCTAACTTTACGAAAACCTTCAAAAAACAAATTCAATCGAAGCAGTTGAAAGAAAAGCGACTCTGCAAAGGGAATACAGCATGCCATCAACGTCGCCGGGCACAGGATATGTTATGGTTCTGGAAATGACTGCCGACTGGCATCCCCTTCTTAACAATGACAATCCTCAAGTCCTTACAGTAAAAGCTTCGGAATTTTCAAAAAACCTGAAGTCTCGATCTGTCCGAGAGGCACCGGCGTCGGCGTTGTAGAAATGCCCAGGGCAGCCGCATCTTCGGACGGCATTGCGAGGTCCAAGAAGGATCGCCCCGACGGGACTGAGCCTGAAGAGAATACTAGCAATAAGATCCCCTGAAAACCGCTTCTGATATTCAGGCTACAAGGTTGAGGAGGTTTTTGCCTACGGAAGGGGAGACGACAAGAAATTGTGAGTCGCAACCAACAAACTCTACCATCCTCCGGCCCCGGAACCGTGAATGCAGACCTTTCACTTCCCAAAGCCTGACACCCCCAAACCCCGAAAGGCCTTTTGGCGGAAGGACGGCGTGCCAGGCGATCGTGGAAACCGTGACCCCAGCGCAGAACGCCAGGAGTCCTCGAAGCAACGTCATCACATCAGCCGAACGAGTTGAATGTGCAAGTACTTGGGCATCTGTTCTGCCAAACACAGGTTGACGTCGTCGTTGTATTGAATGCACAACCAAATCGAAGGCTGATTGTCTCAGATAGTACACCCAGGTTCTGGGCCCCCATGGTCCATATACGGTTCCCTGTTCCTACAGTTTCTCTGATTGACGCTTGAGCGAAAAATGCAACAGGAGTTGCGGTAAGCATCTGCGTCATGGAAGAAGCTCACCAATGGAAGCCGGGTCCATGCTCTTCATATTTTCATCAATATGATCATCATTATCATCTGAACTCAGCAATCAATAGGCAAACGATATATTCTTTTATCTTATTACGTGACATCTGCCACATTTTGTTAATTGAGTAATTATCAACTGAAATTCACGTGATTGATTTTTTCGTGAATATTTGAATAGAAATTAAGTTAGTATCTTGACGCGATATCACCGATCGTTCCACCAACGATGCGACAGACCTTGTACGCAAGAAGCAAATTAATGGCCAAGCACAAATCTATTGATTCCTCTTCTTCGATAGGTCCGATAGGTATTGTCATCGGGACAAGATCGAGGCCTCGTGAGTGAAAGCAATGCCTGTGAGGATTCCAGGATTCCAGACCCATATAAAGCTCGCCACTACCCCCAGTTAAGTCGGGTGCACAAAAGCACATAAAATCAAAATTATGTACATGCATATGTATATATACATAATGAAAATATCTCTACATATATATATATATATGTTCCAAATCATAAACATAGTTCTACCATTGAAAATGTTGACCTTCTTCAGCAATTGTGTCTTCTAACTTAATACATTTACATTTACCCATCATCTTCTTATGATTTTTATGTTTCGAACATTCTCTCTCACTACACAAAAAGGATTTTTGTTTTCAAAATCTTTCCGATCGGCTTGCACTGCTCCAGCACATCGCTCTCCTTTTTTATGTGGGCTGAATGGCTGGCCTGATAAAGGAGGAGAAGCAACCGTTTCCACGAACATACAGCACAAACGCAAAAAAGTGATGGACACCCTCTTTTTGCATCAAACATGCAGTATCCCAGGTTTGCCGCTGGAGAGAAGCGTGGAACATGCTGCACAGTACAGTCTGACGTCAGAGCTTTCAAAGACTTGGAGAGAAGCTGAGCATTCAATGCGGAGCCACTCAAAAGAAGAGTCTTCCAATCATGTCACGTTACTCCGACGACTAAATCGTTCGGAGAAGATCGAGAGCAAAGCGGCTGAGTAGCTGGACAGCTCACAAATCCGGGCGCGGTGGCTCTTTGCCAGGTCCGCCAGGAGGGGTTGGCCGGCTACATCCTGCAAGTAGTACTCCAGCGTGCGGCGCTGATGCCCCGCCACTGGATGCGCGGAATGGCTTCAGTCAATTGGTACATCCAAGTAGCGCCTGAGCCGCGCAAACACTTGGGCGTCACTCCCGAAGGGCCTTCCTCGGTGGGGATGACGAGCTGCTGACGAGCTGCCTACGAGCTGCTGACGAGCTGCCTACGAGCTGCCGACGAACTGCTTGCCGAGTTACCGAGCGAGCTTCCGAGCAGCTTACCAGCCGGACGCTCGGAAAATTCTCGGAGCATTTGTCAATCAAGTTGATTGACAAATGCTCCGAGAATTTTCCAGTCCAGCATGCTTACCGAGCGAGCTCACAAGCGACTTAAGAGCTGCAGCCCAGCAGCTGACGAGTCCTTAAGAGCTGCAGCCCAGCAGCTGACGAGTCCTTAAGAGCTGCAGCCCAGCAGCTGACGAGCTCACCAAAGAGCTGCTCCCAAGCCTCCGCGCCGAAAGAGCGCGCGTCGCTCCCAAACAGCTCCGGAGCCTCCCGACGTCCAGAGCCGGCTGAGACAATGAGACTTTGAGACAACCCACCTGGAATCGAAGCGAATGTTTCAAAGTCTCAATGTCTCAGGCCACTCCGGCCCCGGAGCCTTCAGAACCGGTTGTCTCATTGTCTCAATGTCTGACGCCCTCCCGGCTCCGGGACCCCTCATCGCACCTTCGCACTGCCTTCGAAGCCGCGCGCTCCCAGTTTGCAAGCACTTTAGAGCCCCTACGATTGCAAGCCCTGCGGCCTCCGGCCCTGAAAATCGACAGGCCTTCGAAGTACCGAATTCTGACCTGTGTCTCGAAACCAGCCTCGTAGCTGCTACTACAGAGTGGAGAACTGGAATTCAAGCCATTTTTCATCAAAAAACCGACCGGTGGCACAACTCGCCAGTTTGGCCAGACATGCCACCGCCACAATAACGTGCTCAATTTCATCAAAAACGGGTCAGTGTCGCAAGACAAATCAAACGCGCTCAATTGCACAAAAATCTGGCCGGTGGCGCACTGATGAATGACGACACCCCTACAAAAACGCGCTCAATTGCATCAAAAACGGGCCGGTGTCACAACTCGCCAGATTTGGCGAATGCACCCCCACAAACCCGGGCTCAATTTGCTCAAAAAACGGGCTTTCTGCAGTCTCCGTCAAATCCGACGAAGCCAGCACAACCTCAAAGCGCGCTCGAAAGCTCCGAATTGGTGGCTCGGGAGCAGCCCATGCAGAGATGCTTGAGCGTGAAATGCGGACTCTCCACATCGTAGAACCACACTCTCCCTCTCAGGGTCGAGCCCACGCATAGGTAATCGCGCTGGTAAGCCTGGTGTGCTTCAGCAGCTCCGGGTGGCCGGTTGCGCCCTGGACTCTCGGAATGGTTTTGGCTGGGTTGAAAATTGGTGGGGGCCGAAAACGATACGTTGAACGAAAAAGCAAAGCCAAACCTCCAGAACTCATGTTGCGTACGACTTGCAAAAGGAACTGCTCAAGAAAGTTTGAATCACCATGGACAGCGCAGACTTCATGTAAAAAGTAGGCAATAACCAGAGTGTCCTGAGATGGCTATGCTGTTCAGCTTGAAAGCATTGCAAGGGCGCTTTTGCCCTGTTAAAAGAATTACTGTGCAAAGGTTGTGCTACGTTTTCCATCATGCAATAGACTCTCGTTCGAAAACGTGACAGACATGCCCAATCGCTGCTCTGTCGGATGTGCTGCAAAGGACTCTCGCAAAACCGTGCACGAGAGTTTATCTTAAAAAAATTGGCCCCCGTACAGTATGGACCCCAGAGGTCTCTGGTCTTCCCGGGCCATTTTTGCTTGACATGCCAAGTAACTGTAAGAAGGGAATGGATGCTTGCACAAACTCGCACCTGTTTAACTGTTTGGACATAACGAAGATTTGACAAATCAGAATCAACACCGGTGCTGAGTTCTCGGTTACGATCACGGAGACAAAGTTTCAACGCGATGAGTTGCTGCCATTCCGCGACCAAATATTGGTCGAGGTTTCCGGCCTCCCCTAATGCAACAGCAAAATGTGTTGCAAGCAAGCATACGAGCTGAGACGGGGACTTAGACCCTACAATGTGTCACACCAAGAGATTCTCGAACGAGACTTGTAAGCAGACACTGCAAATTTGAACCTGTCAGAGGCAACATGACAAAAGCAACACAGTGACTTCCCAATTTTGCAACATGCTCCAATGAATCATCAGAGCAATTCGTCCTGCTGGTCGTACTGATTCTCAACCAGCACAAGCTATGAGATACAGAGAACCATGCATTCACTGGGCATCTTGGCCTTCCCGTCTCAGGCCAAAGCAACTCTAGCTTTGCACACCTGGCTTGCGCCAGCTTGGACAGAACTTTAGTACGCCGATCTGCCCTAGCCTACACTCCGCTTCATTTGTGTCATGTTATTAAAAATAACTTCTTGCTGCTAGGGCATCACAAAGCGTCCTCCACTACTCCTAGATTTAGACACCGTCCAATGCCTCCCACACTTCCCAGCCTCTCTCTTCCAGGCTCTGCCAATCCCTCCCAGCCCCCCAGCACCTCCCAGTGTCTCCCACTACAATCCAGGCCGGCAGGCCCTGACCTTAGTGAAAATTGGGGCTGCGTTTCCTGGCGGGGAGTCCCGCCAGACTGAGTTGCACAACAGAGCGTTTCATGGCGCGGTTGGCCTTTTTCGCTGGATTCCATTCAATTTCACTTTTTGTGCAGGTTTGTGTGGTTTTTGCTCCTTTCTGCTGCATTTTTGCATCTTCAGCACATTTTTGTATGTTTTAAAGGCTGTTTTGGGTGGGATTCCGGTGGGTTCCGGTGGGTTCCGGTGGGTTCCGGTGGGTTCCGGTGGGTTCCGGTGGGTTCCAGTGGGTTCCGGTGGGCTCCGGTGGGCTCCGATTCTCACCTGAAACTCTGCCAAATTTGCCACTTTTCTGGTGGGAATCCACTCCCTGAACCAAGCCCGGGTAAGCAACTCTCACCTGAAAATCACCAAATGTTGCTGGTTTTCCGGTGGGAATGCTTCTCGAAGCTATTACGCGTTGGCAAAATGATACTTCAGAGCAAATCCAAGCATGGATTCCGGTGGTTGGGTTCCAAGGCGCTTTGGGGCTGGCCCAGGCCCACCTGAATGGCCTGCTTAGAAGGTCAATTTTCCACCAAACACCTGCAAAAGTTCAATTTGCTTGAGTTTGCTTCAAAAATGGCCAAAATTTGTCTAAATGGCAGAATTCAGTTGGAACTTGTTGGAATTGCAATTTTCTGGCTGCCAACGCCAAACGGATCAGACAGGAGCACCTC